ATATATATATATATGACATATGTGTGGACATATGTGTGTATGTGTATAATTTAAGGTATATGGGAGGAGCCAGGCATGGTGATACACACCTACAATCCCAGCACTTGGAAGCTGAGGTAAGAGGACTGCGAGTTCCAGATCAGGCTGTATTACACGGCCAGATCCTATCTCAAAAAAGTAAATAAATAGGGACCAGTGTGATCCCTTCATCAGAATGCCTTTGTTCTCTCCACGTACCCTTGCTACATGACCGGTTTTAATTTTACCTACACTTACTGTTATCCTATAGGTTGATTGTAGTTTGACCCACATTGTACCCACATTGTGACTTTGCTGTATAAATTACCCCTGACAAAAGACCGTGGTGACCACCCACTTGAGACCCTTCCTGCTCTCTCAATAAACTCCTCGTACTCTTAACCTCCCTTGTTCCTTGGAGTTCATTCTTTGATATCCAGAGGCTACAAACTCAGCACATCTGGCATCTGGCAGGTTGGGAGTTATGTTTCTCCTCTGTTACTGGGATTGCAGGTATGCACTACCGCACCCAGCCATACGTTCATTTAATTTCTACTATGACTAAAGGCAAGGACAGGGCCAGGGATTTAGCTCAGTGGTTCCACCACCTGCTTTGCAAGCACAAGGTCCTGAGTTCGATCCCTGGTACCAAAAAAAAAAAAAAAAAAAAAAAAGCTCACATCTAAAAGCAAGGACACATGCCAGCCAGTGACAGCTTTGGTTTCAAACATAGGCTGCCTTAGTGTGCTCTGCTCCAGGACTTGCCAGGACCTGATGAGTGCTCAATGGACACAGTGGAAGGACTGAGGACACCACACGAGGACTACACAGGGACACTCAGCTACTCCCAGGAGTCTCCAGCCACTGTCCCAAAATTCTGATCAACTGGACCCAAGGAAAACCACAGCCCCATGAATGCAGCCACCACAAACAGAGGTGTCCTCTATGGAAACAGACCCACCCCTCAGCCGCGAGGATCCCAGAGCCAGAGGACCAGGCCGGAGGATCAAATCAACCGGACCCCAGCCCTCCAGGTGGTCCTTAGAGCTGGCCTCGGGCCCTTGTGGGGCGGCCAGTCTGATCCCCTTCATCAGAGTGCGCTCTCAGCCACTCATGCTGCAGTCCTTTCCTTGCTGCCCTCTGCTAAGAGCAGGCCTGATCTTTGTCAGCTCCTCAAGCTAAAGGCTGTGACCATTTTCTCTACTTTCCAATTAAAGCTTTTTCATGTAAAAAATAAAATTAAAATTAAAATAAAGAAGTATATGAGAAAAATAAAAACGTATATGGGAGAATGTGCATATATAAATATTACTTTTGTGTGTGTGAGTGTGTGCTGGGGGCTGGACCTTATGATCCTTCTGCCTCGCCCTTCCAGGTTGCTGGCTGGGATTGATTATAAGCATGCACCACCATAACGCCCAAGCTCTCTCTGTCTCTCTCTGTCTGTCTCTGTCTGTCTGTTCCTCTCTCCTTCTCTCTCATACAGTACTGAGGATTGAACCTAGGGCCTTGTACATGCTAGGTAAACATTCTACCACTGAGCTACATCCCCATTTTTTTTTCTTGGTACCAGGGATTGAACTCAGGACCTTGCACTTATCAGGCAGGCAGGGCACCACTGAGCTACATCCTGGCCCACCCCATTCCTTTTTAAAATCTTGAGACAGGGTCTTACTAAATTGTCCAGGCTGGCCTCAAACTTGGGATCTTCCTGCTTCTGTTTCCCAAGTAACATGTGCTACTATACCTGACCTATATCGTTTTACACAAAAGACTTAGTGTTTAAGAATGTTGGTATCCACAGGGTTTCTGGAACCAGTTCTCCATGGATACTGAAGGATGACTATAGTTACACAAGAAGTCAGCAGGTCCTGGCATGGTGGTGCACGCCTGTAATCCCAGCATTCAGGAAGCTAAGGCAGGAGGATCACTGCAAGTCTGAAGCCAGCCTGGGATACACAGTGAGTTCAAGGACAGTATGAAGTACATAGCAAGACCCTGCTCAAAAAACAAACAAATAAACCAAAAAACCCCAAAACATCAAGAGGTCCGCAGAAAGCCAAAATATTTATTTATTAATTAAAAATAATTATAGAAATGCCTAATCTGGAAGCAAGAGAAAGGGCTGAAGACAAGAATGGTGGTGGCACATGCCTGTAATCCCAGCATTCGGGAGGTGGAGGCAGGAGGATCGCTGTGAGTTTGGGACCAGCCTGGGCTACATAGTGAGTTCCAGGTCAGTCTCAACTACATAGTGAAACCGTGGCTCAAAAAACAAAACAAAACAAAAACAAACAACAACAAAAAAATGGTGGTGAAGCCTAAGGGACAGATGCTACCTCAGAGAGGAATTGTACAAAAAAAAAAAGGATCTCAACTCAGCCAGCCCTCATTACTGAGAAACCAGGAGCAGCCCTCAAGCTCCCCCAAGAGCCACTGTCTCAGAGCAGGAAAGGGAAGCCACTGTGACAGGGTAAAGGATGCTGCCATCCTTCTGCAGTGCTATCACTGCCCAGAAGTCACTTCTACCACTGTCTCTGCCTGTGATAAGTGGAGGAGGTGGGGGACACAGGCGTGGGGACACGGAGTGGCAAAGAGAGGAGAAACAAAGGAAGCTGGTTCTCAGGGTTCAGCACTAGCAGGTGCCACGAGTTGCTGGGGTTATTGACGGTCTTTGGTGACACCAGGCATTGGAGGAAACAGTCACAACCTGAGAACATTTGTACGAATTTCTGAGAAATAAAGATATCTCTGAACAAAGATACTGGGTTTTTTGGTTTTGTTTTGTACCAGGGATCGAACTTAGGACATTGTGCTTGCGAGGCAGGCGGCAGGCGGCAGCGCCACTGAGCTAAATCCCCGGTCATAAGAGTCAGTTTTTATCACCTAACTTGCTGGATGTCCTTTTTTCATTAAATATTCACTTTATTTATTTATTTATTTATTTATTTTTGGCACCAGGGATCGAACTCAGGTCCTTGTGCTTGGGAGGCAGACAGCAGAACCACTGAGCTAAATCCCCGGCTAAATATTCACTTTAATACCTAAAGAGGGAGCTAGAGCTAGACGTGGGGACACACGACTATAATCCCAGAACTCAGGACCCGAGGGCAGCCTGGGCTAAAGAGCAAGACTGTCTCAAAACAAACAAACAGAATCCTGTAATCCTAGCTACTAGAAAGGCTGAGGCAGAGGGACAGCAAGTTTAAAACCAGCTTGGTCAATTTAGCGAGACCCCTTAAAAAATAATAATAAATATAAAGGCTGAAGATGTATTTCAGTGCGAAGGCCCTGAGTTCAATCCCCAATACCACAAAACTAAACAAAAAACATAAAAACCTAAGGAATGCCAAAAATTGTAATAGCTCTAGAGCTCGCACAACTCCTATTTAGTCCTTCTGGAACACAAATGTAACTCTCCTCTCCGACCCACACCGTTCTCTGGCTCCTCAGTGCTCTCAGAATCAAATTGACTGACTGGCAGTAAAAAACTCTATTTCCCATCTCGCTCTTCGCTCCACGCCTCATATCTACATTTTTCGTCAGGAGGTCCCAAGCCCCGCCCTTCTGTCCCTCAGTTACCACATCCCGCCACCAGCCCCAGTTCCCGCCTCTTACGTAAGCTATCTCCCATTCGGCCAGGCCCTTATGGGTGTGGCTTCCCCTCAATCGTGAAACTCATTGGCTATCGTGTACCTCTGAGGCGTGGCTACGGGGGCCGGTCGGGCACGTTCCGGACCGTGGCAGAGGCGG